GATACCGAGGCCACCAGAGAAATTTTGTCTTACTGGTCACAGAGCGCCAATTAACAGAGTTATTTTCCATCCTGTATTTAGTCTTATAGTATCCGCTAGCGAAGATGCCACTATAAAGGTAAATAATAATAAATAAATAAATATATATATATATATAGATTTTTTTTTATTTTTTATTTTCTTATTTTTTTTATTTTTTTATTTTTTTATTTTTTTATTTTTTTAAGAGAAGAAATTTTAGACGAAAAAAAAAAAGTTATAATAAATATATATACGTTTGTTTCAAGGTATGGGACTTTGAAAGCGGAGAATTTGAGAGAACATTGAAAGGCCATACCGACAGCGTACAGGATATCTCGTTCGATGTCTCGGGAAAGCTATTAGTTTCTTGCAGCGCGGACATGTCCATTAAATTGTGGGACTTTCATCAATCTTTCGCATGTGTCAAAACTATGCAAGGCCATGATCATAACGTAAGCTCTGTAGCATTTGTTCCGCAAGGTGATTTTGTAGTAAGCGCCTCTAGGGACAAGACGATCAAGATGTGGGAAGTGGCGACGGGTTATTGCGTAAAAACATTAACGGGTCATAGAGAATGGGTTAGAATGGCACGAGTTAGTCCATGTGGCGAACTCATTGCCAGTTGCTCAAACGACCAAACAGTTAGAGTGTGGCATATAGCAACGAAAGAGACAAAGGTATATCATAATATATGATTTTTATTACATCGTTATATATCTTATCGTATAAAAACAAATCGTACTTATAAAATTATTTTACCAATTAAAAGAACTTATTACGATATTTTCTTAACATAGGTCGAATTAAGAGACCATGACCACGTCGTTGAATGTATCGCATGGGCACCAGAAAGTGCAAGAGCATCGATCAATGCAGCAGCAGGAGCGGATAATAAAGGAGCCCACGAAGGACCCTTCCTTGCATCAGGTTCACGAGACAAGACCATTCGCGTTTGGGATGTTGGTGCCGGTGTATGCCTTTTCACACTTCTCGGACATGACAACTGGGTACGCGGAATTGTTTTCCATCCTGGTGGAAAATTCATCGTCAGTGCTTCTGACGATAAGACACTCCGAGTATGGGATACGCGTTATAAAAGGGCGATGAAAACCCTCGAAGCGCATGTTCATTTTTGCACCTCTGTCGGTAAATATAGAAATTCTTCTTTTTTTTTTTTTTTTTTTTTTTTTGTTTTTGTTTTTGTTTTCTTTTTTGATATTTTAGATATTTTACATTTAAAGAGATATATTTTTCTCAGTCTAATACGAACAATTATTTTCTCTCGTTTTTTATCTTTAGATTTTCACAAGAATCATCCATACGTGGTAACCGGTAGCGTAGATCAAACGGTGAAGATCTGGGAGTGTCGCTAGTCACCCAATTTTACAGTTTCTTTGGAACTTCATGAATATGAAGAGCGAAGAAGATAAAACGCGCGTCCAGTTCGATGGAAATGGCCGAAAGAGTAAGCTGCTCCAAAAGCTATCGTACATACACTATTATTAATATTAATTATTATTATTATTATTATTAATTATTATTATTATTAATTATTATTATTATTATTATTAATATTATTATTATTATTATTATTATATACACATACGCGTACGACTAAGAGCTCTTTAATTAATTTATAATAAAGTACGATTAGTAATTATTAATATTATATATCGTTTTACGGTAACGAACTGCACTAATCGAGGAGAGTGTACTTGAGGGCAGCATAACTGCCAAAATATAGGCTCATCTCTCGAGGAGGATATTACACAATTTACAGCACTATTGTGTTTGAACCGAAGGAATTTATTCCTTTAACTAAATACGAGAACAAAGACAGGATTCTGTATATATTTCTTTCTACGTAGTGCAAAATTTTATGTCAGTGACTGCCTTTTTTATACCCCCCCACCCTACCTCACCTCACCCTCTCGTTTTTTCTTATCCCCTCAGATCCCCTCGTTTTCTCTTATCTCCTCAAACCCCCTCTCCCTATTTCTCTCTTTCTCTTTTTCAGGTATTATTGATATTTATTAAAATATCAGAGATGCGGTACTGAGTATAAAATAAAGGATATTGTCGTTCTCCTCGGTTCATACTCTTTACCATTTCGAACGAATCTCTTTGACTCTTGTAACGGTGATGAAAATAACAACTATGTTGTCACCTATAAGAACAAGGCTTTGTAATTATTTTATGCACTCTCCTCGACTATTTTTGGCAATTCAAAGTGGGATGCTGCTCCATCTTTACTCATATATACAAAAAAGCAGTGGCATACCTTGCTGAGTGCAGTATATTGAATGCCAGCGATTCAACTACCACGGATTAGTTTGAAAACTGTAGTAGGTAGTATGCCATTGAGATACCCTGCTGCATGTTGTCACAGGAGATAAAATCCACTGCATTAGATATTCGATTTGAAATAAATGACACGCACTGTGAAGGGACAATTACCTCGATAAAAAAATTCTTCTATTTAAACATCGCTTGTTTTTCAATATAATAACTGCGCAAATATATTCAATATATTGGGAATTGTTTCCTACCAGTGTGATGTTTACTTTTGGGTTGCATAAACATACTCAAATGTGCACACAGATAAAGTGAATACAATCAAGAATATAAGGTATAATATATTGTGCAAATTTAAGTCAATAATATGGCTGAAAGACTAAACTAATATGGACAATTTTTATAATGTTTTTGTTCGAATGGGAAGCACAAGAAAAATGGTTGAACTGTGGTCAAAAATTTAACGTGTGCTCAAAGTAGAGAATAAAAAAGAAAAATATAAGCTTTTGCTCAGCGCTTAGCATCCAATCAATGTGCATTAATAATAATAACCTATCGAGGACAATTAAGTAAAAAAATGCAAAGCATAGTCAAAGAATTTCCCATCGGTTTGACTATATTTATTAAATGGAATGCATATTCATATTGAAGATCGAAAGCGCATAATTCAACGTGTGGGTTCCAAAATGAAAAGTGCTAGTTGTATACTTAGTTTTAACCACTATTAGCAGTAGTTCAGACATGATATAGATGAAGGAAAAAATAGAAAAATAATCGCAATTCAAATGTATGGTTGGACGACACACTGACACATACATATTTTCTTGCATTCGTATGTACTTGCATTTGTATGTAAGTGTACAATATGGATACCATTATGACGATGCTTAATTAAGGGTGATTTTTCAAACAATACACTGATGTCTGCAACCTTTTCCTACTGTTTCTCCCTTGTTCACCTTTTAACCAGATTTACTCCTGGGAAAAATACCCCTCAATTAATGTGGTACTAAATTATTTTGATGAACAATAAACGAAGTTGTCACTGAGTCGTAAGATCTATATTACCTATATTTCATACTATTCTTAATAATAATGGTTATATTAATTTAAATAAAACTATCAGCTATGAAAGAGTAATAGTAGAGTAATAATGAAGAAAGGAAGAAAAACTTAAGTGAATATTACCTTCTTATTCCATAGTTTTTATTATTTTCTTGCTACCTTTCAATTCCTTCAAGAAATGCATGAAAATACTTTTAATATTTATCGAAAATACGACGACACGGTACTGCTTAAAAATAGCATATAATTTCGTAAATAATACACAAAATTTAACTTGTGTATTGTGTGTAATATTTATCTTTGTACTCTAACACGTATCACTTTGCCATTATTTATATGCGAGAAAAAAGAGTTATAGTATTAAGCTGCATCTGTGGATTTTGGTGCACGTTTAATTTGTAAAATCGTGTCGCTTTACTATACGTAGTATTTTTAATATCATGAAGAAAATACAAAATCTAGTTTTATTACAACTTACATTCGTTTAAGTATCATTTTAATTTAAGCTTTACTCTTTATTCATTTCTCTTTATTCATTTCATCAGAAGAAAAAAAAGAAATATTTATTAAAATATTGAAAATTAAATAAATATATTTTTCTTTTCTTTTTCTTCTTTTATCTTAAGATCACAAATATGATAAAACTTAAATATGCACTATATACATATGTACACATACAATCTCATGCAAATGTATATGTATATATGCACTTGATAACAGTATTCCAGAGTGTGATAAAGAAGGGCTAGCAATATATTGTTATAAGCATACAATGAAACTATACGCATATTGAGCACTTGATATTTGTGTCTACGTATGGTTAATGTAATAAAAATTATGTTGTAGTTGCTTTTCATGACTCGTTATCTAGCTTTAGTGATTCCATTTTTCTACCAGTTTTAATAATGTTGCAGATAGTAGAATGATAATAAAGTATTATTCATCCTTTATAATATATATATGTTTTTGAAAATATTTTTAAATCAAATTAACAATTCTTACTCTATTGGAAAGCAGAGAGAGAGAAGAGGATGGAGAGCAAGAGAGAGAGAGAGAGGGAGATATTTAAGAAGTAAACAAAAAAGAAGGACAAAAATAGAATTAATTTTAACATATTGGTATCAAAGAAATAAAAAATAATCTCTATAATATATTTATATTATTAAAAATTTCAATAATAGAGTTCATATTTTGAATTTAAATTTATTAAAACTTTCGAATGTTTTATTTGCTTTTTTTCATTATCTAGTAACGTAAATTGCTGTAAGATGGTACTATTACTTCTTTTTTTACTTTACAATTTTATATTATTTTAGAAAAAAGAATTGATAATTTTACCAAAACAACTATATTATTCGCTCCATAAATATAAAGAGAGTGAAAAATTTTTATATTTTTATTTCTACACGAAATAATAAATATATTTTGTTTATACACTTAGTTGTATTCGATAGTATGAACCAATCAGGAACGTTCTTGAAAACATTAGTTAATTATTAAATTACAACATAAACATTTATAATATAATTTATTGATTAAATATATACGGCCGATTTATAAATTAAAATATATATATACATATATACGTGTAATCACATATATAAAAATGTAAACATAATTATAAAATGAATTTTTTTCAAATAGTTCGTTAAATAATCGTAGATAACTACGAATGTTGGTAATGATTTCAGTGTGGATTTTCCTTTGTTATTCTTACTTCGTTAACGGAGTTAAAGTTCCCAGCCAATAACGAATAAAAAAAAGAAAGGAAATTTTGTTTTCACGAACAGTTACTCGCCAACTATGTTGATCGACTTACCTATTTGTAAATGAGATGGTTTTGTGTTGTCACTTACACGTGATAATTGTTGTGAAATGTGCTTTTTCCCGGCATTGATGAATTAAATCAACACGCGTAATCTTTCTTTCCATACGATTATATTTTATTAAATTAAATATATTTTTCTGTTCTGTTGAGTATATTTACAATGAAAATATTTTGTTTAATTTACGTGCGTTTAATAAAAAATATATAATGGGTTAACCTTATGTATTCATATATTTTGTTTATTAAACTATTACGTATGTTTTCGTAAAAGTGATAAAAGTAACACGTAATAATCATTCAAAGATATATTTATCATTTATATACATTATTTCGATTATTTGATTATCATTAAAAAGGTATGAACATGTTATCGGAAGATTCGATACCTTTGTCCTTACCTGATACACAAAACATAGACGCTGTGACTCTTACGCAGTCTCAGGATTTACCTGTTTCACAACAAACAGCTATGACTATTTGGGGGAGGTTATGTCCAAACAAGCTTCCTTTTAAACCTTTAGGTAAATTCATGCATATTTTCTTTTATATATATATATATATATATATATATATATATATATATATATAAAATATATATATATGTATATGTATGTATGTATATGTATGTATGTATGTATATGTATGTATGTATGTATGTGTATATTAAATTTTAGTTTAATTAATACGATCAATTTTACTTTTTCAATAGAAATGACTAAGGACGAATATACTCTCGGTCGTGCAGAGAGTTGTGATATTTGTGTGAATTCTATAGAATTTAGAGCTAAGTGGGTGAGTGTAATAAGTAAAATACATTTTAAGATAATCAGAGAACATATTGGTGGGAACACTAATGACTCGGTAGTATACCTAGAAGATCTTAGTCATAATGGAACTTTTGTTAATAAAGAAAGGGTTGGAAATCGTAAACGAGTAATATTAGAAAGTAATGATGTGATATCTCTTGCACAACCTTATTTTGCAGGTAGATATTAATTCTTTTTATAATTATAAATGTTTGTATTATATAAATATATAGATATTATTAATTGACAATGTTATATTTTAGTGTATATATTTATGAGTACAACTGCATTTGAGGGTAATGAATTGCCTATAGAATTAAAGAGTAAATATGCAGTTTCGCGTAAATTGGGTTCAGGTGCGGGTGGAGAAGTAAAAATGGTATTTACCAAAAATGGTTGTAAAAAATTTGCAATGAAAACTATAGTTAAAGCAGCTAGTAATTCAAATGGATATAAGCATCCTTTAAATGATCCTGAAAAAATCATGAATGAAGTTAGAATTTTGAAAGCTTTGAGGCATGTAAGTTAATGCAATAATATTCTTTTTTTTTTAAACCCTTGCATTGTAGTTTTGTGAATGAAGTTTAATTAATAAGATAAATCAATGTGTTATAGCCATGTGTGATTCGTATGGAAGAAATTGTAGATACTCCAAGTACTGTATATATTGTTCTTGAATTAATGGAAGGTGGAGAGCTGTTTGAAAGAATAACAAGTAGGGGCAGATTAACAGAAAATCATACCAAATTGTTATTTTATCAAGTTGTATTGGCAGTTCATTATCTTCATGAATGTGGTATCACTCATAGAGACTTAAAGGTTAGTTATTTGATATATGTAAATATGTGTAATAATAATATTTACATATACATATATATTAATTTTTTTCTTTTTTGAATAATCATAGCCTGAAAATATATTATTGGCAAGCAATGCAGATATAACTTTAGCTAAAGTGTCAGACTTTGGTTTGTCAAAACTAGTTGATGCACAAACCATGATGAAAACATTTTGTGGAACACCAATGTATGTAGCACCTGAAATATTGTCAACAGGTGGACGTGGTTCATATACAAACAAAGTATGACTTATATATTTCAATATTTTTATTTTTAAATGCTGATCTATAATTGAAATACGTTTTACTTATTTATTAATTTTAGGTCGATATATGGAGTTTAGGTGTAATTTTATATGCTTGTTTAAGTGGAGCAGTTCCATTTAACATTACATGTAAAGAAGTTACTTTGCAAGATCAAATTAAAAGAGGGCTTTATGGGTTTCCAAGTTCTAGATTTGGACATGTATCGGATAAAGCTATCGATTTGGTAAGAATTTAATGATGTTTGTTATATTGAATAGGACATATGAAAAAAAGAAAAAGAAATTCGAAAATTTATATATATATATATATATATATATATATATATATTTATATGTAATAATACAGATAAAAAAATGTAGAATTATATAAAACAAAAAGGTTTGGTTTTTAGATTAAACGTATGATGACAGTAGATCCTAAGAAACGAATTACCATCAAGCAGGTGTTATTACATCCTTGGCTACAAGATCATTTTATGCGTAATACTGTACATTCATTAATTAATTATGATAAGGACGAGAACTGCCCTCCTATAAATTTACTTACAGATGATAGATACAAACATGACACGTATGCAGGTCTGTTGAAACGACCAAGAATAGACTTATAGATATTTTGACTAAATACAGCCTGCTAGCGGGTCTATGTAATTATTAGTACAAATAATGAAGAGAGTATTGACTTTTTTTAAATAAAATAATTATGTTAATCACACAAGGAATAGCGTAATACGTTTACCTTTTTCTATTATTGAATGATTTTGTTGTGATATTTGTTTGTATGCTCCATATAAATGTAGTGATGTGTGTACATATAGCGCGTAATCTAAAAAACAAATTTACATGCAACAAATAATGCAATCACATTTTTCATTAACAACATATGTGGTGCTTGTATATCTGTGATTTATACTGTTGATTTTTTCAATAAGGATTTATATGTGATTTCTAGTTCATGTATTTTATTTTGACTCATTATCATGTTAATAGAAATATGTGTTAAAATTCTAACATAGAAAGAAACCTTTATCTCTAACATCTTATGTTATCTCTGTTTTGCATATATTTTTAATTAATTTAAAAGTTTGATCTACTTTATAGTGGGTTTTCTTTCATCGTGACATAGTAATAAAATATCTTGTATCATTTCATTATAAATAATTTAAGCGAAGTTTCACATAATAGAATACGAGCATATGTGACAATAAATTTGTTTTGTTGCGTTATTTTTATGTTTGTTTTTACTTGAGTATAGTTGGTATATCATACATCCAAAAAATATATAATTCAACCTGCAAAAAACATGTGTTTAAACAGCACATTTATAAAATATACCATTTTATAATAAAATTGTTACATGAACTGTTTTATTTGAGGATCATCGATATTGCATTATTCATCATTCCTTTCTACAAGAGTAAATGTCTTCTTCATCAGGACAAGGATTCGGCATTGGTGTTTCTAAATCCGATTCCTCTTTAGACGTAAGTCCAGCAAGATGTCGTTTTATTTGAGCTATTGCATTTCCAGGATTTAAACCCTGAAATAGAGTTCATAAGTAATTTTCTAAGAGCGGACAATTTAAATTATTAGATATAATGTGTGTATTCGATTGTTATATCTACCTTCGGACATGTTTTAGTACAATTAAAGATGGTGTGACATCGATAAACCGAATAAAAATCTTTTAGTTTACTAAGCCTCTCTTTGTACGCCATATCTCGTGAATCCATTATCCATCTATATGCCTGTAATGTTTGTAGGTATATTGAAAGAAAAAACAAAACAAAAAAAAGAGATATCTTTTTCTTTTTTATAGATAAAAAAAATTTGTTAGATAAAAAATTCGTCTTTGGATTATCTGTAAAGTCCAATTAATCTGATACCTGTAAAAGAGCAGCTGGTCCTAAATATTTATCCCCTAACCACCAATATGGAGGACAGGAGTATGAACAGCATCCACAAAGGATACACTCGTATAATGAATTAAGTTTATCTCTATCTCTCTGACTCTGTAAGATTTGTCTTAAACCAAGAAAGCTGCCTTCTCCGGGACGTTTTAAAAATGGTTCAGTTGAATGAACTTGGCTAAGAAAATGTGTCATATCCACAATTAAATCTCGGATTACGTAGGTATGTGGTAAAGGATAAATAATAATCGGTTTCGATGAATGTTCTATTTTTCTGAAAATAAAGTAATAACATATTTTTAAGACACATAATACCAATCAGATAATCAAAGAGATTTTTATTACAATTAATTCAGTGTATTATTATTATTATTATTATTACGTGATGCAAGCTAGAGTATTAACACCATTGATGTTCATCGAGCAACTTCCACAAATTCCTTCACGGCAAGATCTTCGAAAGGATAGAGTTGGATCGAGATCTGCTTTGATAATATTTAGAGCGTCCAATATCATGGTACCAGTACAATTCATTAAATCCACGTTGTATTGTTGTATATGGGGTTTTACTTTTGGCTTTTCTGGATTCCATCGGTATATGCGAAACGCTTGTATTTTCGTTTTCTTTATTTGTTTTTCCTTAACCAAGAGAAACGATCAAATTTAATGATCATTTATTTACACATACGCACATTCTATTTATCATATACTTTTTTGAGGGTTTTTCTCATGTTTTTTTTCTTTTCTTTTTTTTTTTTTTTGTAATTTTTATTTTATTTTATTTTTTTTTTCTCACAAAAATCCGCGTCACTTTGACAACTTGTGTTATACTTTTACTAACGTCTAAAGTTTTGCAATCCTTGACGGCCGCCTTTTCTTTACCGAGTATTCCTTTATCCGTTGATGATAAATATCTTAAATGGAAAGTTATTAAACCGAACCATGAATTACGTTTTACATTAATATAGCCGTTTTTACAAAATTGGCTAGTTAAAACGCCGCCGGTATCGGCAAGGAACATGTCCTTCGGTCGATAGATTTTACAATAGAACCCCCAAAACTTTAATATTTATTCTATCGAACATTCCGGCTTTGGCAAGGATACTTATTCTGTCCTTTCTGTCAGAAACAAAATATTGAAAATGAGCGACGATCAAATACGTATCTAGTGTAAACAGCACCTAGGGCAAGCGTAAAAATTGTGCTTCAATCGTCCCACCCACCCCCTCTTTGGTCTCTTCCCAACCCCCAATTATTTCTTCATCAACTTATATGCGTATCGTCCCAATTCCATCTTTTCTTTTTTCCATTTCATTTGTCAAATGAACGATTTTGACTTCGAAGAAGTACAAGAAAAAAAAAATAAAAAAGAAGTACAACTTCATTATTCATACCGCCGCGACAAGAGCCATGCAGGATCAACGTTTCTTTTCTTTTTATTTTTTTTTATTATTTTTTTTTTTTATCACGACTTGACTCTCTTCTCAAATTTATTTCTCATCGAACTTTCTCAACAACAACAAAAATGAATTTTCTTCAACGAATGCTATTTCTTTCGGCCTTTTTGTTTTTTATTCTTTTCCTTTCTTTTCTTTCTTTTTTTGATTTTTGTTCTGATTTTATTGTTCTTTTTTTTCCCCATAGGCCAGGGCACAACGTCCTATTCGCCCAATCCTAAATAATTGTTTATAATGACAACCTTCACGATTCTCTAATTTATAACTATGTTCGGGATATTTTACTTATTGCCGAGAGAGAGAGAGAGAGAGAGAGAGAGAAAACGTTTTTTTCTTTTTTTCTTCTTTAAATCGTTTTGTTTTTAAATTCATTCTCGTTTTTTAATTATTTTCTTTTCATTCGCATTTTGTTTACATACAAATTATATGGCATTGAATTAAGTCATATTTTTCTTCATTAGATATTTAAATATTTACGTTTTTGTGTATAATAAAAAAAATATTCTTCCGTTATATAAGAAAATCCGTTTCAAAGTGCTTGTTATCGTTATAATGTAAATATTTTATGTAATTATGCATTTTTTTTGTTTCTTTACGAGTATCATGTAAAAATGACAAATATATTGAAAATGACTCGTAAGATAAAAATACATATTTCAATATTGATTCAAAAATGGATATTATAAAATAATATTGGTCACTTACATACATTTTGTAATTATTACAATCATGTTAACTTAATTTAGAATAATACTCGAGTCTTCTTCTTCTTCTTTTTCTTCTTTTTCTTCTTCAACAAAACGTCATTAAATGAAATACGATAAATATTTTAATTATTCGTTTGAAAAATTTAAGAAGAGAAATTTGACTTAATTTAAGGGTTATTTAACCTTGATTATAAATATAATTTTATAAAAAAAAAAAATCGAATAGGTACATACATTTTCCCTCCAAAAAGATAAAGTATGGAAAAGTATACTTTAATTGACAATCCACTATCGAAATAAACAAAAACAAAATTATATTTACCAATTAATTTAGCACAGTTGTTATACCTTTTTTTTTTATTTTTTTTTCTAAGTTCTTGTAGATTATTAAAGCATAAACAATTGTGCGTAATATAAAATAAATTATAAATATTTTTTGTTATTGCATAACTTCAGTATCTCAAATATTTTTTTTTTTTTTTTTTTTTTTTTTTATTAAAGACAATTAAAAGTCTCACAAATATGTATGAACATTTATTCACCTTTAAAAAAGTGATCTTTATTTGAATATAAAATGGTAATAGTTGGCGATAAGTTGTCAATGACGTTATTTTCAACCTCTCACTTTTCTTTACAATCCGAAGGTAATCTCGTTAGATAAATAATGTATAATATCTTATATGCATATATATATATATATATATACGTATAACTTAATATATTATCAATCGTTATTGTAATCAATTCGTTTATGAGTTTTTTCAAAGGAGAATAAAAAAAGATCCTATGTGATTTTTTTTTTCTTCATCAGAAATGTCGTCATAACCTTCGATTTATTTTTCGCGCCATTATTTACATCGTTTTTTGTAACATCTTTGAAAATAAATACGTAAGTAAGTACGTAAATGCACGGCAAATAAGAATAAACTTCTGCGATTGTAATTCTCCTAATTTAGTAATATTTATATATATACGTATCTTCGATGTGATAACGCGAGAATAATAAGAAAATCAAGTGATTTATTACAATGGATCGTTCGATCGTTCGATCAATTTTCAAATCAGTTCTTATTATTATCATCATTATCATCATCATCATCATCATCATTATCATTATTATATATTAATATTTATATTATTATTATTATTATTATTATTATTATTATTATTATTATTATTATTATTATTATTATTATTATCAAATATTGCCTCGTTTCTTTGATAGATCTTTTTACGGTCGATAACTTAGTTCGTTGTTAGTAAAGAAAATATGAAACACAAACAATTTTGCAAAAGGTCAAATATGTTATCATTGTATGTATGCAAGAGGTTAATAAAAATTAACTCAAACCGACAAGTCAATGAAATATATCACGTTGGTGTTACGGTCGAAAATAATTGGCTTTTAAAAGACAGCTATGTTAAACTGAAAAACATAATAAGTACTTCTATTTGTAGGATCTAGAATCTCCACGTGCATGATGGGAGAACTATAAATCGAAAATCTTATTGTGTTAGACACCTGTTGTTGTGTTAATTTATTGTACATTTAGTGTTCCCATTAAGAGATAAAGTTAAACGTTTATTTCTTTTTTATACAAGTTAATATCAATTCAATAAAAAGACATAAAAAGAAATTCATATATTAAGTATGGAATTTTTTATTTATATATTCTATATAGAGGCTATTTTTGGGCATTAAATTTAGAACTTCAATTTTTTGACGATAATTTAATTTGTTTCGTGAATGTTCAATCAGTAAAAAATACGTTTGTGATTCTTTTTAGAAATGGCAGGACAAACTGTCTTGATCATAGGTAATGGTGGTAGAGAACATGCTATTTCTTGGAAGTTATCTCAATCTCCACATGTAAGGCTAAATAATTATTTTACATTAATTAATCAGTACATTTTTATATGTGTAAAATATATATATATATATATATATATATATATAAATATTTTATTACTGTTAATAGATAAAGGAAATATTTGTTGCTCCTGGTAATAGTGGCATTGCTTCGGTGGATAAAGTTTCTTTAGCAAAAATTAATGTTAAGAATTATAAAGTATGTAATACCTAAATATTTTTTCTTATCTATATTTCAAATAGTTCCTTATTATAATGAATTTGTTTGATAGGAAGTAGCCGAATGGAGCAAAAAAAATGGAATAAGTATTGTCATCGTTGGTCCAGAAGAATATCTTGCTAAAGGTTTGGCAAATGAATTACAAAATGTAGGGATACATTGTTTTGGGCCACAAAAGGAAGCAGCTAAAATAGAAGCCGATAAAGATTGGGCTAAACAATTCATGGATCGTTATAATATTCCAACTGCCAAATGGAAAGGATTTACAAAAGCTGAAGATGCAAAAGAATTTGTTAAAAAGTAAGCTGAAATAAAAATAAATATATGTTCTTAATGAAATATTTTAACATGAATTCAAATGTTTATTTTAGTGCCACGTTTCGAGCTCTTGTGATAAAAGCTTCAGGTTTGGCAGCGGGTAAAGGTGTTATTGTAGCCAAAAATGTAGAGGAAGCGTGTCAAGCAATTGATGAAATTTTAACTGATAAAAAATTTGGTTCTGCTGGTGAAAATATTGTTGTAGAAGAACTTTTAGAGGGTGAAGAAGTATCGGTACTTGCATTCACAGATGGTACAGTATATAAAATAAAAATTTTTTTGGAACGTTGAAATATTCATCATACTAATCTTTATTATTATTTAGGAAAGACAATAATTCCTATGATGCCATCGCAAGACCATAAAAGGATATTTGATGGGGATTCTGGTCCAAATACTGGTGGAATGGGTGCTTATTGTCCATGTCCTTTGTTGAGTGAAAAAGATTATGAAATAGTCAAATTAAATATTCTTCAGCAATCTATTAATGGACTCAGAAAAGAAAATATACCATTTGTTGGTAAATAATTATAATAACATATTTAAACAAAGTATATATATAAAAAATAATTTCATTCTATTTTTTATTGTTTATTGTAGGTATCTTATATGCTGGTTTAATGATAACTAACGAGGGTCCTAAAGTCCTAGAATTTAATTGCAGATTTGGTGATCCTGAAACGCAAGTGATATTGCCATTATTGAAGTCAGATTTGTTTACAATTATAAAGGTGAATTTTGTCTTTTGTTATCCAAGATTAATTATTATTGACAATGATAAGGTATATTTCTATAACATAGTTTTATTCAGGCTTGCTGTGATGGTACCTTGGATCAAATTAAAATTGATTGGTATGAAGGTGTATTTGCTGCTGGTATTATTTTAGCTTCTCATGGATATCCAGCTTCATCTTCCAAAGGTCAAATAATAAGCGGAGTTGACAATGTAATATCTAAAAAAGATTATTTTATTTTCCATAGTGGCACTGATCTATCTTCTCAAGGACAATTATTAACAAACGGTGAGATAGTTTATAAATAATTAATAATTTTATTATATGTGATATTAAACTAAAATATTTTTCTTTATTATATTTTTAGGTGGAAGAGTTCTCATTGTTGTTAATATCGCACGTTCACTGGCATTAGCAGCAGCTAGAGCTACTCAAGCTGCTAAAGAAATATCATTCGATGGGAAACAGTTTAGAATGGATATAGCTCATAAGGGTATTGCCAGGTGTGTATTATATTTTTTGTACAATTATAAAAAGATTCCTTTTAATAAAAATCATTACAGGTCAATTCTTCGTTATGGTGATTTAACATATAAAAATAGTGGTGTTGATATTGAGGCTGGCGATTCTTTAGTATCTGCTATTAAACCTGTATCATGTTCTACTGTGCGTTCTGGTACATTGGGATCTATTGGTGGTTTTGGTGGTATATTTGATGTTAAAGCTGCAGGTTATAAAGATCCTCTCTTAGTTTCTGGTACTGATGGTGTTGGTACAAAATTAAAAGTGGGTACATATTATAGGATATAGATCATACAATTTAATAGGCACATTAATTATTGTTAAACATTAAATTATCTTTTTAGGTTGCATTTGAATGCCATAAACATGATACAGTAGGAATAGATTTAGTGGCAATGTGTGTCAATGATGTACTTGCACATGGAGCAGAACCACTATTTTTCCTTGATTATTTTGCATGTGGTAAACTTGATGTTAATGTAGCTGCCACTGTTATAAATGGTGTTTCAGAAGGATGCAGAAGAGCTGGATGTTCTTTGGTAAATATATATTATATATTCAATATATTAGTAATGTCAAAATAAATTATATATTAATTAGTAATGTCAAAATATTATACAGGTCTTACTTATAAACCAATATAATACCATTGAATTTTGCAGAAAAAAAAATTGAATGTACTGTTTAATTTCTAGATTGGTGGAGAGACTGCAGAAATGCCAAATATGTATTCAAATGGAGAATATGATCTGGCAGGATTTGCAGTAGGAGCAGTTGAAAAAAATAATTTATTACCATGCATTGATAAGATTATAGAAAAAGATATTGTCATTGGTCTTCCATCGAGTGGTGTACACAGTAATGGTTTCAGTCTGGTGAGAAAGGTTCTTGAAATAGGAAATGTGAAATATACAGATATTGCTCCATTTTCTGAAACAGGAAAAACTATTGGTATTTATTTAATAAAATTTGAAATTTCTTTCATTAATTCATAAATATATCATCATTTTATACTAATTGATTACAGGTGAGGAACTTTTGGAACCAACTAAAATTTACGTTAAAGGTGTCATTCCTGTTTTAAAATCTAATTTGGTAAAAGGTTTTGCTCACATTACTGGTGGAGGTTTAATAGAAAATATACCAAGGATTTTGCCTAAAGATGTTCAAGTTAATTTAGACGCATCTAAATGGAAAATTTTACCTATCTTTGGATGGCTTGCTGCAATCGGTAAGAAATCAAGGATATTATATTAAGAAATTAAATAATTTTATTTGAAAGCATCAGATTTTTTTCCCTTATATTTTATAGGTAATATCAGCCAACAAGAAATGTTGAAAACTTTTAATTGTGGCATTGGAGCTGTTTTAATTTGTGCAGAGAAAGATAAAGATGAAGTATTACATATGTTGAAAGAAGAGAGTCCAATAATTATAGGAATAGTAAATTCTCGTTATAGTGAGTTGTTTATTTGAGTTTAAATATCATGCCATTTTCTAAAGTACTTATGTATAATGTATTTCAATGTCGTAGATGATCAATTAAGCGTTCAAGTCAAAAACTTCGATAAATCGATCGAAATAGAAATGAGAAAATATGTGCCAGATATTACATCCAAATTAGCAGCACCACTTAAAAGAGTCGGTGTTTTAATTTCTGGTAGTGGAACTAATCTTCAATCATTAATCAATGCTACAAAAGATCCAACGCAACACATTGGTGCAGAAATAGTTTTAGTAATATCCAACAAACCGGATGTCGAAGGATTGAAAAGAGCAGAAAGAGCAGGCATCAAAACAGTTGTAAATAGAAATTGAAATTGATATATTAGTATACGTATAATTAGTATACTTCAATGTCACATGCTATATATAATACTTCTATAAAATTATTTCATTATTTTTAAATTTAGATTATTCAACATAATCAATATCCAAGTCGAGAAGCTTTTGATTCAGCAATGACTATTGAACTTGATGCAGCAGGAGTAGAGATTGTATGTCTTGCTGGTTTTATGAGAATTTTGTCTGCACAATTTGTAAATAGGTGGAAAGGTGCTTTAATCAATGTGCATCCTTCTTTATTACCTTCTTTTAAAGGGGCACAAGCACATAAAGATGTTTTAGCAGCTGGCGTACGCATTTCAGGATGCACTGTTCATTTTGTTGCGGTAACAATTGTTAATATATTCATTAATAATATATATTTAATATTTAAATAATTTTACTATATTATTTATACATAATATTTATACATTGTATTTATATACAGTAGATATCATGTAGTTATAATACTAAATAAATATATATTTTATATATAATATGTATTATATATAATATGTATTATATATAATATAATTATTCTACATTATTTTCCGTAGGTTGATATTGATTCTGGAGCTATTATAGAACAAGAGTCGGTACCTGTTTTACCAAATGATACTGAAAATATACTTCAAGAACGTGTGAAAGAAGTGGAGCATAAGGCCTTTCCCCGTGCATTAAAACATTTAGCCACGGGACGTATACAATTAAAGGATGATGGTAAAATCCAATGGAACTATTGAATCATATGTACAGATCTTATATTTTTATGAATAAATATAAAATTTAGATATTTTTTATATTTACAAAGTAAGAAATTATCTTTTCAAATCTTTTTTTTTTTTCTTAGGTTTTATATAGACTATACAAGTAGATATACATTTCTATTTTTTAATCACTAACTATATACTCTAGATGTTTGGTAAAGATTAACATTTTTTATATACTTCATTAAATATTTTATCTTCAAGTGATCTTTTTTCTGAAGATTGTTTGAAATAAGTTGAAAATGTCAAGATTATTATCGTTATTAAAAGTATTGTTTATATTTTTTTTTACTGATTTCTTTTTTTTTGCTGATCTAATTGGTTCTTTGGATAATACTTGTTCCGCTAGAGTTTCTATATTAACGTGAAGCATTTGTTTTTGAAGTATAGGTACAAGTAAATTATATTTATCAATTTTGTTGTTTAAATTTTTAATGAATGGTTTAAAATTTTCAATAGTATTTGTCCAACTTTCTCTTTCTTCTAAATTCAATGGAATTAAACCTAATTCATTGCGTGCTTCTGTTAATAATTTTTGTAATTCTTTTGTTTCTTCTCTGATCTCCTTTGAAAGCTGTATCCATTCTGGAGTGAATCCGTTTTCTATCAGTACCTATGATATGATTAAAATTAGTTTTATTCTTGTTATAGTATGTATAATATTACTTATAAAGTTATAATACATTCTGTTTGAAAAAGATATTCGAATACCTGATTTAATTTGTGGGTAGTGAAATCAACATACGGGTTTTGTCTGTTGATATTTTTTAAAGGTTTCCCAATGCCTGGAAGATCGCTAAATTCACCTTTATTCATTGCCTCTTGAATCAAATCTTCTACCAATCGATCCATCCCATAACGTGTCTTAATGTCTTGAGCACGTTTTTTATCCATTCCAATTAATGTATTACGTTCTTCTGCTTGTAATTTTTTTAATCTATGTTCCATAACATTTTCAACAGCTTTTTGTGCTCTTTCAATAGTGTGTAACCTTTGTCGTTTACTTAGTGTTCCTATACCAACGTCATAGTTTAAATAATGACGATGTTGCGGTGCTGTATGCTTAAACAAAAAAAATATATATATACATACAGACACACATCCATTATACACATTTAAAGATATAGAAGTAAAAGATATAATATAAGTATATATAAATAATAATATTCATAAATGAAAACCTTAATGTCAAATTCTTCAACATCCGGTAATAATTGAGAATTACTTTCTTTCAAATCATTGCGTAGCTTTCGTATTTCTCTATAGGCACTTTCAACCTAAACAAAATATTATTAAATATTGTTATATATTTTTTTTATCAATGAAATGAATTAACAACATATTTGAAATATTCTTACTTCTGCAAATCTAACTGCATCAGCTTCTGATGCTCCACTGTCTGGATGGAACTGTTTGGCTAGATGTATAAAGGCAAGCCTAAGCGTTTCATCTTCGCAATCTTCATTTACTCCAAGTGTTTGATATAGTTGCTAAAGAAATAACTTTATTACGTAGATTGTAAATTTATAAAGTAAATACACTTCATAAGTGTAATGAGGTTTCACCTTCACAGATTTTGCAGAAGTACGATGTTTTAACCGTTTTAGAAAAAGCATGTCTGTGAAAGATACACGAGCAAATTGTTTACTCCCATTTACGCATGTACAGTTGAAAGTTAACATATTTTTAATTAACTAATAGTTATTATAAACAGAAACTAATGGAAAGAAGTACCAATAGGTATAATCATTGATTTATGATTTATTATATAATCGTTATTTAAGATTATAACCTATACGTGTAATTCTTTAAGCATTTTTATAAACATTTATTACCATTTGTGATTATATTCTCTCTCTCTCTTTCAGTAATGAAAGAAAATAAAAAAATACTTATTAACCACGCTAGTCGATTGGAGTGAGATATACAAATATTGGTTTCAGTTTCTTATTGGTTAAAATGAATTTATTCAAGCATCTGATTGGTGTTTGTTTCGCACGTGTTCTCAAAAAACAGAGACGCTATATACATTTGAAATATTTGAATTAAGCGGCGCCATTTTGTATCAACGGTTTATCTGTAACAATGGTGTTATGTAGAATATTATAACATATAATATGATAATATTTTACAATATCTACAATTTGAAAAGTATATTTTCAATGTAAAATATCATACAGTTTGTAAAGTATAATACTTACTTTTCTGAGAACTTCGATAATTGTTATAATATTATCACCGAAATATTAACGCGCGGTTTCAATTGAATTTGAAAAGTTCTTAGTTCTGTTTACTTGAATTAGTTTGTAATTCCTGTTATATGCGGTTGATTGAAATACTTTTTAATGAATATACAATTATAACAAGAATAGTGCAAACTATAAAATGAAATGTTTATAAGAACAATATTGTTTACAATTAATGTTGTTGCCTAACCTCAAACAATCAATGTGTGCATTATATTTTTCAAAATATTGACTATGCTATAATAAAAACTTAGAATGGCTGATAAAGTACAGGATAGACATAATGCTTCTGATGAGATGGAAGTGGACTTTGTAAATAATGAACTTAATAACGATGAAGATGGGGGTATAAGAATAGATGATGATATTTACATTCCACCACCACCAAAAAAGATTAATGATTTAAATATAAATGGACCTAGGCTCATGATTACAAAAATAGTTAATGAAAACTTTAAAAGTTACTCAGGCAAGCAAGTTATTGGTCCTTTTCATAAGGTAAATATAATTATCAAATCTAATTAATTTATTTAGAATCTATATATCTATATTTTTTTCTTTATCATGTATCTTTTAGTGTTTTTCTGCAATTGTGGGGCCAAATGGAAGTGGTAAAAGTAATGTAATCGATTCAATGCTTTTTGTGTTTGGTTATAAAGCAAGCAAGATACGTTCAAAAAAGATCTCAGTTTTGATACACAATTCGAGTCAACATAATAACTGCAAAAGTTGCACCGTTTCTATATATTTTCAAAGTATAATTGATAAGGTAAATTAAAAGTAAATAATTATCTATTGTGTATAAGATTTTATTTGTATAAAAAATATATGAAAAAAGAAAAATAAATGTTTATAATATAGGAAGGTGATGATTATGAGGTTGTACCAAATAGTGAATTTGTAATATCTAGAACAGCATTTAAAGATAATACATCATATTATGAATTAAACAATAAAAAAGTACTATTTAAGGAGATATCTAAACTTTTAAGATCTCATGGTGTTGATTTAGATCACAATCGATTTCTAATATTACAGGTATGAATGATAAAAATATAATTAATATTTCAAAATCTTAAGATCTAATTTAAAAATTTGTTAATAGGGTGAAGTAGAGCAGATAGCAATGATGAAACCAAAAACTGTAAATGACAATGAAACGGGTATGTTAGAATTTCTGGAAGATATCATTGGTACTGTACGTTTCAAAGAGCCTCTTGAAAAATTAGTTGAGAAGATTGAATTATTATCAGAATGTAGGGTAGAAAAAATGAACCGTCTTCGAATTGTTGAAAAGGAAAAAGCAGCTTTACAAGAACCTATGCAGGATGCAGTTAATTATTTGAGAATGGAGAATGGTGTAACAAAATTACAATATCAATTGTATCATTGTAAACGGTAAGTTACAGTATTATATTACGTTGCCTTAATACATTATTACCTTGTCTTTAGAGGTTCTATGATAAATTATTTTATTTCATTTAATTCACATCAATAATTTCAAGTTTGTCATAAATCAGTGCTAGGACAGCACAGGAAATTACTTTACAAGAAGAAAAAACGAATGAAGTAGATAAAGATGTTAAAAATCTAGTAAATGAAATACAAATTATTCATCAAGAAAAGGAAGAAAAACAAAAGGTACTCAATGAAAAGAGTAAAAAATGGAATGCATTACAGTCTAATAAAAATAATATTGATGCACAATTTGAACAAATAAGAAAAAAGGATGAATATCTATATGCAGAGATGGTTGAGACAAACAAAAGAAGAAAAGAGAATCTTGCATTGGTGAAAACTGTAAGTTTAATTGTAAAATTAAAGATTTCTATGAGATGTATATTTTTATAAAAAGTTCATTTTTGTTTAATGATTTCAGGAAAAAAATAAATTAGAAGAATTGCAAGCAATACCTAAAAAAAATTCAAGTACGATCGAGGAATATGAACGACATGTTACGAAGCATGTAAAATCTAGAGAAAAGGAGGAAGCTGCATTGGTTACTTTAATGAGTGGTTTACGTGAACAAACGGAACCATTGCTTAACGAACGATCTCAATTAGAGAAAAATTTAATATCTCTTAGAAAAGATGTTGACGAAGCTAAGGGTACATTTGATATTGAAGATTCTAAATTACAATTATACACATCTATCGAACAAACAGAGCGAGAAAAATTGAATAATATAAAAGAAACTTTGGAAACTACTGTAAATACAATTAAACAAAGAACTGAACAACTTGATTCCTTAAATAAAAAGATTCCCGCTACTCAGAAAAGTTTGGATCAAGCAAAAAATGAATTTCAACAAGTAAAGGATCGTGAGATTCAAATGACATCGAAGCTAAAGAATTTGAGAATTTCTTACGAAGAAAAAAGGTCCGCTATGCAAGCAAATAATTCGAGAAATAAAGTTTTGAATTTACTTATGAAAGAAAAAAGGGAAGGAAGGATTCCTGGTATTTATGGTAGATTGGTATGTTTTTTTTACATATGCCATTTATTTATGAACATTAACGTTTAGGAAATATCGTTTATAATTATTTTATTATTTTACTAATTTACTAATTTACTAATTTACTAATTTTCATTTCAATTAAAGCTACTTAATACGAGATGATTTTGTCATTAGGGTGATCTCGGTGCAATAGATGCTAAGTACGATGTAGCAGTTTCAACTGCTTGTGGTCCATTGGATAACATCGTTGTGGATACAGTTAATACTGCTCAAGCGTGCATTACTTTTCTTCGTCAAAATGATATAGGACGTGCAACATTTATACCTTTAGAAAAACAACAACGTTATCTGTCAAAGTGCAAACAAAAGTTACAGACACCGGAAAACGTTCCTAGACTTTTTGATTTAATACGCGTTGAAGATGAAGAAATATTACCAGCATTTTATTATGGCTTACAAGATACTTTAGCAGCAGATAATTTAGATCAAGCGACGCGAATTGCGTATGGACAAAGACGTTACAGGGTGGTTACCTTAAAAGGAGAACTAATTGAAATGTCAGGTACTATGAGTGGTGGTGGACGTACTGTATTTAAAGGTCGTATAGGTCAAAAAGTAGTTAGAAATGAGCCTTCTGTTGCTGATATTGATAAATTACAAGGAAATCTTGATCAAATATATAAGGAATGTAATGATTTAAGAACTAAACAGCAAACTTTGGAAAATCAAATACATACTCTTTCAAATTCTTTGAAGGATATGATAGTTGATAGAAATAAATATAATATTGAGATACAGACTCTTAAGGAACAAAAATCGTTGTTAGAAGTACAGCTCAAGAATCAGAGAAAAAAAGTTACAGAATCTGTATGCGATCCAAAGGAGGTACAAAAGTTGAAGAAAATTGTAGATGCTGCCAAAACGAAATTAGATATGGTTCAAGAAAAATCTACCATCGTTGAAAATAAAGTTTCTGACATCAATATGGAGATTGAGAAAATATCTGGTGGGCGTGTAAGGGACCAACAGCAAAAAATATCAACCTTAAATAAACAGATAGATAAAACAAAAGGTGAGATTTATAAATTACAAGTGGCTATTACAACAGCCGAACGAAATTATAAAAAAGTGGAACAACGTATAAAAACTCTTGAAAACGATATACTCACTGCGGAAGAAAAAATACGTGAAATGCAAAATCAGAAAAGTGATTTAGAGGAAAAGGGCAAAGTTTTGTTGGAAGAATTAAACAAAGTTAATGCGGCACTGGTAGAACGAGACGAAGCTACGGCGTCTATAAAGGGAGAATTGGAGGTATTAAAAATTCGTGAAAATAAAATGAAAGCCGTGAAAATAGATTTAGATCAGAAGTTCAGTGAATATAAGAAAGTTTTAGCGGCGATTAAGCAACGACTACCAGATTATAACAAGAAAATAGATTCTTTGAAACTTCATACAATTCCAGGGGAACAACCTGGTGTATTAAAAGAATTATCAGAGGAAGAAATAAATGAATTGGACGAGAAGGTTGTAACTGATAAATTAACTAAAGCCATGCAATATTTACCAAAAGATACTCCTAATATGCAAATTATTGCTGATTACGAAGAAAAAGATAAACTTTATTTACAACGTGTTACAGATCTCGAATTAATAACTACTGAAAGAAATAATTTAAGAGATATTTATGAAAATGTACGACGACAAAGAATGAATGAATTTCTTGGTGGTTTTACATTAATAACGAGTAAGCTGAAAGAAATGTATCAAATGATAACTTTGGGAGGAGATGCTGAACTTGAATTAGTCGATTCATTGGATCCATTTAGCGAAGGGATAGTTTTCAGTGTAAGACCACCAAAGAAATCTTGGAAAAATATTAGTAATCTTAGTGGTGGTGAAAAAACCCTGAGCTCTTTGGCTTTAGTCTTTGCATTACATCATTATAAACCGACCCCATTATATTTTATGGATGAAATAGACGCAGCTCTGGATTTCAAAAATGTTTCCATTGTTGGTCACTACATTAAAGAGAGAACAAAGAATGCCCAATTTATAATAATATCCCTTCGATCGAATATGTTTGAACTTGCAGATTATCTTGTAGGAATATATAAGACATATAATTGCACAAAAAGTGTCACAGTTAATTTGGCCAAATATTATGTCAATCATGGAATTTCACCACCAACACAGATACCTATTTCTAGAAATCCTTATACCCAAACGCAACTTACGTCAAAAAATAATACGCAAGACGAACAGCCAATAAATGCAGATAAAGTTGCGCATTCTAACGGAACCGATTTGAATACCTCCTTAGGGTAAGATTTAATAATAATTATTTTATTGGGTTGAGTGCGTGTGTGTATTTTTTATGATTCATTTATATATTTAATTGGCGATTTCAGATTACCAAATTTGAGCCTTTGTGAAACTCCAAAGAAATCTGATAATTCTAAGGAAAATGTCAATAATGAAGAGAAAAATGGAAACAAAGAACCTGTAAGGAAAAAAAGAAGGATATAAAAGTGTTTTAGTAATGTTATTATTAAGACGAAGATATGTTTCAATAAGGACATACCTTATGTAAAGAAAAATACATCTTGTGCAATGCGAAGAAATAATTATTTGAACAGAATGCATTGTTTCGCCAAATCCATTTAATAATGCCTTGTAACATTTTCTCAGTCTTGTTAACATTATTTCTTATCGATATATATATATATATATATATATATATATATATATATATATATATATATTTATTTATTTATTATCAATGTCATTGGGCAGAAATTATAGAAAAGATTTTTTTTCAAATTAATACATTTAAAATTACATTTATAAATATACAAAAGATTATTTCACTTCATTAATAATTTCATACTAAAGATCATAGTGTCTTATACAAAATTGGCCTAACATTGCAAGGATTATATCTATTAACGTAATGATTATTTTTATTCGTACGCTTTGTGTATTTGTAAAATAGTCGACGAGAATACAGTGCTCTTTTACAATTGTATAAAAATATGAAATATACATTTAACACTGGTGAAAGTTTCTCACCTATGGTAAAATAATTGCTTTAATGAAAAAGAAAAAAAATATACGTATAGATATCAATGTCGATTTGTTTTTATTTTTCTTTTTAAATGGCAATATTGAATTAAAGCGAATAATGACAAGAAAAAAAAATTGTATTGTAATGTACAAATTGGCTTAGTTTAATAACTGCCGTATAAAATAATTATATATATATATATATATATAATATATATTTTATATATAATATATTATATATATAATATATATATAATATATATTTATATATATTTTATAAATGAGCAATATTCTTATATACTTATAAATTTAAATACACATGCTTATCATTCATACTAATATTTATGTACTTTTATATATTCTCTTTGATATCAATAAACAAAGTTACGCGTAGTAAAGTAATACGATATTATGGAAAAAATGAAATGATGTAATCATGCATTCAGTAATCCTTCCTACGATTAATAAAATTTATGGAAGATTAGACATTTCTTTGTGAAGAATATGCGATAAGATATACTTTAAAGAGATATTTTTTTTGCTCGAGGAAACTCAACGCAAAAACAATTTATCAATAAAAACAATATATGTAAATTTCTGTAATATTAATGTATCATAAATTAAATTATTAGAGAGTCTTTCTATTGATCAGATAAAAACATATTATGTTATTGGTATCTTCTTGCATTTGATATCAAACAATTTTTAATATATATTTTGTATATCTGAGAACGCATAAATACATAAATAAAAGTCGTCGTTAACGCCTTTGGTTACATTCTACGAGTTTGTATATAGAAATCGTTACGATTAGTCTAGAGGAGAGGATCAAAGGAAAAATAGAGGGGCGTGGTGTTTCGTAAATCGGTGGGGAACTCGATATAAGTATATACGATTAACATTTTTAGAACGGTGTATTCTTGCAGAAGCGAAAATGACAGCTAACAGAAAGGAAGGTAGTAGCGACGGTGTAACGAAGGTGTCGCCAGGTAGATTTATTTATCATTGTCATTGTCAGTGTTATCATATCACCATTATTATTAATAACTGTGTACGATTGGATGTATGTTGAAAATGATTTATTCGAACGATCCTCTAATCGACGCGTTTCATCAATTGTAAAATTTAAATTTCACAAATAATTTTACTATTGCGATGAACATTGTGATACATTCAAGAAACGTTTCGAAGCATATCATTAGCGAGCTCGTAAACTTAACACTATATTTATGTTAATATAGCATTTTTTATAAATTATATTATTACTTTAGTAATTTTCTTCAAATTATTTTTTGTTATCATGCTTTTTTACGTCGTTTCTTGACTTGTTGAAGAAATTTTTACTCGGTTTGCCTATTACCCTAAAATATTATCTCATTTCCGTACTTTTCACGTACACCATACGATTTGTTTTGTTTAAATAAATTAGTTTTTTTTTATTTAGATTCAAGAGATATTTTTAATTTATTAGAATAAATTAAAACCGCGTTCGTTATCGCAATTAATAAATAATTTATTGATGATTGAGATAATGTTTTAATTGAAAAACAAGATAACGAGGAAATTTTTTACTTATACGAGTGTCTTATTGCGTTCTCATTTCTAGAAGTATATATCAAATTTACCCTCTCTTTTTTTATCTCATTTTAATCATAACAGTGTTTAATTCTAGATAAGTTATATTGAAATACTTCGTAAATTCGTAAAAAAAGATAAATCATTTTTAGTTGATTCGTTGTCTCCTTGATAAATTTTTATCTTAATCTTGAAATAGTATTAAAAATACATAGATATATAATATTAGATTATATTATGAATTAATCCATGAATATATCAATCGTCAAGAATTAGAAGAAAAAATGACACGTGTAAAATTTAAATATTTAAATGATCTTGACATAATAAGCCTTTTTCATTTTTTAATTGATCGGAATTAAGATCAAGATGAACATTACTTTCATTTATTGAATATAGTGCGTGTATGTGTTTTATATATGTCTCTCTCTATATATATATATATGCCATACATATGTACATATATACATATATATGTGTTCTACATATGTGTATATATATATATTTCAGGTAAACTGGGGGTCAGACATTTACAAGTCCTTCTACTTTTCTTCGCCATGGTCATTGGATATTTTCTTAGAGTGGGAATATCAGTGGCTGTTGTGGCAATGTCGAACTCTACTACAGCGAACCCAGAGATCGAAGTAAGTAATTATTCAATGTTTATAACGTTCAGCATCAAGAACTAGCTATAAGCTATAATATTAATGTATTCGACAAAAGATTAAATGAAAGTATTAATTTCTCTGAATGAATTCTATTAATATGTAATTATGGAAGTATAAAATAAATTATTTAAAAGATTTTATAAGTTAATATTTATATATATATATTAAATTATTATATATATATATTAAAAATAATTAATATTATTATTAAATGTGAAATAATTAGATTTTATATATATATATATATATATGTATGTATGTATATGTAATATATATGATAAATATTTATAATTTTTAAATAATAATAATTTTTTAATAATTTTGTGACATTTTTAAACAATTAGATCGATCTTTTTTATATTTAGGATTATGGATGGACTTCGTCGCAAAGGTCATCGATCCTTAGTTCGTTTTTCTGGGGTTACACGATAATACAGATACCATCGGGTTATTTCATCAGTATTTGGAGCACTCAAAAGGTCCTCTGCTTGGGGATGTTTATTTGCGGTGTATTTAGTTTATTGACGCACGTTGCTGCTCATTATGGCGGCATCATAGCTGTATACGTTTGCAGGGTAGGCATGGGTCTTTCTCAAGGTTGCCTCTTACCTTCCATACACAGCCTTCTCTCCAAATGGGTGCCGCCCTCAGAGAGGGCAAGACTTGGTGAGAACCGTTTGATACGCGAAATAGAACGAAAGTACTGAAAAAAGGTGCGAAAATTATAAACAAAAAAGAAAAAAAAAACCGTGAAATACATGTTCCTTATTCTTCTCTTTACCTATTGTTCTATTATTAGTTTCATTATCTCTCTCTCTTTCTCTTTCTCTCTTTATTTCTTTATTCAATTATATCGTTTTTTTCTTTTTTTTAAAGGTACCTTCACATACGCAGGAGCACAGTTTGGTACAGTCCTCGCTCTTCCGTTTAGTGGTCTACTCGCAGCATCATCAATAGGATGGCCTAGCATTTTTTATATTTTTGGTGCTTTTGCTGTCTGTTGGAGTATAATTTTCCTCTTCCTCGGTTCTGATACACCGTCTACTCACTCAACCATTTCCATGGAAGAAAAGATGTATATTAAGAGCAGCCTTGAAAGTACTCATACTGATAACGAAGAGGTGAATAAATTATAATGTGCAAGAACAGTTTTTAAAATTTTGTGAATGCCGATGGTCCGAACGTAATGAATAAAAACTGACTTTATCGAGGAACGATAAAGTATTAAGCATTGGCCTTTACAGGACACATTTATTAAACGTAAAATAAAATTGCTATAATAAATGTGTTTTACATAGCAAATAAGAATTAAGATACCGCAGGCTAATCGTAAATTTTATTTATATACTTTGATTTAGTGAGCATTAGTTGATCTATTTCTAATGATCAGAGTACAACGATAATTTCTTTTTATACAGTTCGATAGACTCGGGAACTATTCATATTCTAAATGGAAATATTTCGATTTGGTTTGATTATGTAATCACACGATAAGAAAAATAATTCATATCGAGTATTAAAAAATGAACAATGTGCGTAACAATTCTTCAAGAGTCTTCTCTTTTGGAATAATTATAATTTATCGAATTTTAAGCGATCGAACGATTAAAAAAAATAGTATTCGATCGATTTTTTACACGCTGGATTTATTTTTGTAATAATTGTTACTGTTCGGAATTCCATCGTATAGCGGTTATTATATCATTGGAATAGATCATTTTCTTCCTTCTTATTTGTTTTGTTTTTTCATCAAAGCAAATTATATTTTACGATTGCTTCATGCTGAAAATATATTTTTGTTCAATCCTATTTGTTATTTTTAACTTCTTATTTGCTATTTTAATGTACTTTTAACGATAATACAATACTTTGTCTTTTTAAATTAAATTTCCTGTATGTTCGGTATGTTTTGCGCGTCGACTCAAGGCTGACAGAAAATGTGAAATGTTATAACTAACGTGTTATTAGTAAGAATTCAAGTAGAAAAAAATTCGAGGAGATAATGCGTCATTGGAAATTTGACGATTTTATCAGATTTTTTTCCATTGATAACTTTGGAAACGAGGATAAAATTTCAATCGAAGTTTTCTTCTTTTTTTTTTTTTATCTTTCTTCTTCTTTTTTTAATCATTATTGTCACTCTTTAAGTATTGCGCTAAGCCGTTTTATCGAATAACAATGTATTACGAATTATTATGTAAGGAGATCGCATCTTACTTGTTAGTTTCACAAAGCGATTAGATAGCTATGCATATATATACATATTTATTTATTTACTATTACATACGTAAAGAGAATGGACGTATCGATCTCGCATATATCATTACGCGAGCATTGCTTTTACAATTGATTTAACACATAATTTAATAGG